AACAATATATTTTTTAAATACCTTTTATTGGCAAATAAAATAAGAACTAAAATGTTTTAAGTGTTTATTTTATAATACAATACATAATATTACACAGACACAAACTAGAATAAAGATATATAATGCCTGGCATTCTAAATGATACTCTTCGCAGTTTAACAGAGCCCCTTAGTCCCCATTTTCAAACAGATTGTTTTCACAATCAATAGGCCTCAACTCCTTATAGAGTTTGATTTTTACTAAAAATTTCATGTTGATATCGCTTTTCATTTTTGATTTTTTTTTTTTAATTTCAATCCCCCTTAAATCCCCCATATTTAATCAGATTTTTTTTATAATTAAAGGGCTTCTTCTCCTTTTAGAAATTGATGTTTGCTAACAATTTCAAGTTTATATGTATTATTTTTCGTTTTTCAGTTAGGATTTTTTTTATATTTTAACCCCCCTTAACTCCCCAATATATTCATATTTTTTTCAGTATCAGTAGGCTTTATCTTCTTATAAAGCTTCATTTTTACTAAAAATTTCATGTATATATCGCTTTTCGTTTATAATTTAGGATTTTTTTTTTATTTCAACTCATCTTAACCCCCTATTTTTAATCAGATTTGTTAAAAATCAATTGGCTTTGTGCCCTTATAGAGCTTGATTTTTGCTTAAAATTTTCAAATTGATATTATTTTTCGTTTTTGATTTATAGTGCAGACAAAAAACGTGACATCGGACAGACAGACAAAGTAAACCTATAATATTCTTCACAAAATACTGTATGAAGAGTAGAAAAAAAAAATGTATGAGATAAAATAAACAATTTAAAAAGGTCAACAATAATATTCAACTTTTATCAAAGAACACTAAAAGTTTGAAATAGCAGCAAATAATTGAACACAGAACACAGAAATCTGTGAACTAAACTAGTGACATACATATCGTAAAATGTTATCACACTTAATTTTCCATATTATGATCCTTTCCAAGTGTATTTCACAGCACATTTCAAAGTATTCTTGCACTCACTAATGTCCTACCCTCATGGCTGCTTTTGCATGTCCAAGTTTACTAAAAAAATAATGTGTTTTAAGTTTTAATAAATAGAATAATAGTGATTTTGTTTAAATAGGTAAATCAGCTGCATCTGTATTTCCAAATTATTGTTTAATTGTAGATAATATATTAATGTTTTGATATATACTTATAGGATTGATTAGCCATAGCATGTATATATCTGAGATGTGACTTGTTAAGTGCCTAATCAAAATCACAATTTATGTTTGATACTTATTTCGAGACATTCTTTATTACCAACTATAAACTAATTTACCAATAGCCTTATTTTTATTTAATACCTGTAGTGATTCAAATTACCATGACATCTAATATTTTTGAAAATTCTAAATTATACAAACAAGGCAATAAAAAAATGTCATTAAAATAAGATTTCTGGTTTGTATGCAACAAATAATCTAGGTTAAAGGGCAACACAATTGATAATTAGAGGCAAACATAACTTTATATAGGTAAACTATTTAAATGTACATACCATTTCTTAGGTAAAATTTCTCATCGAGTATATTAAATTAACTCGTTAATCCATTTTTCCGATTCAGACTTTTAAAGTGAAAAACCATTTGCCTCTTTATCTTTATCAAACGTTTATTGTACATTTATATTTCCATAATGATGTCAAGTAAATAAAAAGGCAATAAAAAAATGTCTGGTTTGTATGCAACAAACGATCTTGGTTAGAAGGTAACACTATTGATAATTGCAGGCAAACATAACTTTATATAGGTAAACTATTTAAATGTACATACCATTTCTTAGGTAAAATTTCTCATCGAGTATATTAAATTAACTCGTTAATCCATTTTTCCGATTCAGACTTTTAAAGCGAAAAACCATTTGCCTCTTTATCTTTATCAAACGTTTATTGTACATTTATATTTCCATAATGATGTCAAGTAAATAAAAAGGCAATAAAAAAATTTCTGGTTTGTATGCAACAAACGATCTTGGTTAGAGGGTAACACTATTGATAATTGCAGGCAAACATAACTTTATATAGGTAAACTATTTAAATGTACATACCATTTCTTAGGTAAAATTTCTCATCGAGTATATTAAATTAACTCGTTAATCCATTTTTCCGATTCAGACTTTTAAAATGAAAAACCATTTGTCTCTTTATCTTTATCAAATTTTTATTGTACATTTCCATAATGATGTCTAGTGACCTCATCAGATTAATTCAATTTTTGCTTTTAGCGGGTTTTGTGAGAAAAAAAAATTACAAATTTTTTTGCTTACTTCTTTCTTCATAGTATTTACAATTGAATACAAAATAGACCATTTTGAAGTAGTCTTTGGATGGTCTTAGACACTAAAACAAAATATAATACAAATTAGAGTCGTAAAAATTTATTATAGGTAAATAAATCAACATAACCTTAAAAATTTTAATTTACCTTGCCTTTCGAGAACAATCGTTGAATTGGCACACACCTTTCAATTTATTAAAGACACAGTTCTTAATTAAACACATTTTTTTAAATAAGCACAATTAATATAATCTTACATTTTTTACTTTCCTATCTGTATACAGATATAAGGAAAGTATAGGAATCATGATTTTTTTCGACTTCGAGTTTTCGACGGATTTTTACGTTTTGAGGTCCCCTGAATCCGTTTTGACTATTTTCGCGATGATGTCTGTGTGTGTGTGTGTGTCTGTGTGTGTGTGTCTGTGTGTGTGTGTGTGTCTGTCTGTGTGTGTGTGTGTGTGTGTGTGTGTGTGTGTGTCTGTCTGTGTGTGTGTGTGTGTGTGTGTGTGTGTGTGTGTGTGTGTGTGTGTGTGTGTGTGTGTGTGTGTGTCTGTATAACGCATAACTCATGAACCGATACACATAAAAACACCAAATTTTAAACTTAAGCTTTGTTTCAGCGTCCAATGAGTTGATTAGATTTTGGGCAGAGTCGGAACATCTGGGGGGGTACTTTATTGGTGGTCATTTTTATATTTTATAGAATATATCTGTTATTTACGTTTGGAGAAGAAAATTTTTCAAATAAAAGTTACTTCTAATATAATTATCTATAATTTTTGTTCTATACAAAATTTTCCTAAAATGGTCCGTATTCGAGAAATTTGACAAAATGTAAAAAAAATATTTTTTATAAAAATTGTTCAAATAAAAGTTGTTTGTAATATAATTATCTATAATTTTTGTCCTATACATAATTTCTCTAAAATGGACCGTATTCGAGATATTTGAGAAAATGTGTAAATTTCGAAATTTGAAGAAAACTCAAAAACGGATAAAGGAAAAAAACAATAAATTTTAAACTTAAGGTTTATTTCGGCCTGACGTGAAATGATTAGATTTTGGACAAAGTCGGTACATCTGGGGGGGGGGGGGGTACTTTATGGGAGGCCGTTTTTATATTTTATGGAATATATCTGTTATTTATGTTTGGAGAAGAAAATTGTTCAAATAAAAGTTACTTCTAATATTATTATTTATAATTTTTGCTTTATGTCAAAATTTCCTGAAATGGTCCGTATTCGAGAAATTTGACAAAATGTGCAAAATTCTGATTTTTATGAAAATTGTTGAACTAAAAGTTGTTTGCGATATCGATTTCTATAATTTTTGTTTATACATGATTTTTCTAAAATGGACCGTAATGGAAAAGTGATAAATTTAAATTTTTCAGTATTTTCGTTTTCAATGAATATCTATAGAAAAATGTTTCGAGGTAAATGTATGTGTAAAATGTATATATTTAGTTTATCCTCTAAACATTTATAGAGATGCTGCAATAGGTTGTACAAAATAACCGGAAAATGCCTATAATAACTAGATAGGAAAGTCATGTGTTGGACACATCAGATTTTTATTTAGTGTATTTAATAGTAGAGGAGTGACACTAATGAGTGACAATTTGTTTGATTTGATACAGTGTTGCCAGAATATGTTTTTGTTATGTACCAGATTTGTCTAAAAAATGTATCAGATTTTTCGAATTCTATTTGCAGTGACATCTAATTCATCGAAAGGGAAAAAAGGGGGTCTTTATTGATAATGAACCCAAACAAGGAACACAATATATATATTTTACAAGTGACACTGATGCACGCAGAAAGTACTACATCTAGTACAATTGTCAATTGTACTAGACTGGCAACACTGGTTTGGCAACCTTGTTTGTGAGCGGTGCGCCAATTAATGTGTTCTTTGACAGTTTGAAGGATCTGTTGGCGTGTTGTCTTCTCTTTTTAGCTTTATGCATTTCGGCATATCGTCTCACTCGTGCTAGGCTCACTCATCATAGTGCGCCATAGACACAGTATACTTAGGTATATTGTGTCACAGAGACGCGATCAGCCAGAGGACAATGATGTACCAAAAAAATATAGATTAACACGTATGAAAATAAAAATATTAAAATTAAATTTATATTTTTATGTTATTTATGTAATATTAAAATAATGTGTTTTTATGAAATTTAACTGGGTGTTCACTGAACAAATGAACCAATGGAGAAACCGCCCCTGTGTGTCTACGTAAGTTGGCGGTACATGGAAAACTTTTTATTATTAATTTTAGGAAAAAAGTGTTCCATATGCCGCCAATTTACGTAGAAATTCTCTGTATAGAACTACTGTACTAAATTTTAATACTTTTTTAAACTACTAGTTTTATGAAATTTGTAAGATTAAGTCATTTAGAAAAATATCACCTCAGTCAGTTTAATACTCTATTACATCTGTATTTCCGCATTTGCAAATCAATAGTTCCTACGTGTAAAACCTTCAAGATAAAAATTATAAAGTAGTTTCTTTAAAGTTTTACATGTGGGGCAAATTTAAAGATGTTTTGTGAATTAGGCTATTAGAATAGTACAACTTTAGACTTTTTTGAATACCAACAGTGTTTTGTTTCCTGAATACTTAACCAATTGATTACAATATTGTTACATCTCTGTTTTATTTGTTTCAGGAAGAGTAGAAACCAAAAAATTTAGCAATCTAGAAACTTGCGTAGAAATAAACGAATCAGTTCGAGGCGAAGATGTCTACATCGTTCAATCGGGTAGCGGTAACGTCAACGACAATCTCATGGAACTCCTCATCATGATACACGCTTGCAAAATAGCATCGGCTAGCAGAGTAACAGCAGTCATTCCGTGTTTTCCCTATTCCAGGCAGGATAAAAAGGATAAGAGTAGAGCGCCGATATCCGCTAAGCTTATTGCGAATATGATAACCGTTGCCGGGGCTAATCAAATTATCACTATGGACCTACATGCTTCGCAGATTCAAGGGTTTTTTGACATACCAGTTGATAATCTATACGCTGAGCCAGCGGTAATAGGTAAATTCCGTTTCAAATTGTAAAAAGTTAAGCTGCATCACAGCAGTATACCCTAAATTATAGTCTATAGCCGCCTCTGTGGAGGCTCCGCGAAAATAATAGCCATAATTAAAAGAATATTAAAAAATAATAAAAATACTAAAACATACTAAAAAATACTAAAAAATACTAAAAAATACTAAAAAAATACTAAAAAATACTAAAAAAATACTAAAAATACTAAAAATACTAAAAAATACTAAAAAAATACTAAAAAAATACTAAAAAATACTAAAAAATACTAAAAAATACTAAAAAATACAAAAAAATACTAAAAAATACTAAAAAAATACTAAAAAATACTAAAAAAAATACTAAAAAAATACTAAAAAATACTAAAAAAATACTAAAAAAATACTAAAAAATACTAAAAAATATTAAAAAATACTAAAAAATACTAAAAAATACAGAAAAATACTAAAAAATACTAAAAAAATAATAAAAAATACTAAACAAATACGAACAAATACTAAAAACACTAAATAATACTAAAAAATACTAAAAAATAATTAAAAAATAGTAAAAAATAGTAAAAAATAGTAAAAAATAGTAAAAAATAGTAAAAAATAGTAAAAAATAGTAAAAAATAGTAAAAAATAGTAAAAAATAGTAAAAAATAGTAAAAAATAGTAAAAAATAGTAAAAAATAGTAAAAAATAGTAAAAAATAGTAAAAAATAGTAAAAAATAGTAAAAAATAGTAAAAAATAGTAAAAAATAGTAAAAAATAGTAAAAAATAGTAAAAAATAGTAAAAAATAGTAAAAAATAGTAAAAAATAGTAAAAAATAGTAAAAAATTGTAAAAAATTGTAAAAAATTGTAAAAAATAGTAAAAAATAGTAAAAAATAGTAAAAAATAGTAAATTTTAAGGTGAAGGGTGAGAAAAAGTCCTTTATATCTCACAAGGAAAGTCAATGTTTAATTGTTTAACAAAACATTGAGTGCGACCGGTTTCGAAGTGTCATCACTTCATCTTCAGGCTCGCCTAGTGGAAAGGAGAATATGTGGTGTAAGGTGTGTTAACTTGGAAACAAAACGATATATAAAATAATAAAAAGAGAAAACTCACCATACTCTCCATCCACTAGGGAATACTACAAAAACAAGTTTCATCAATTTTGGGTTGAAATAAATTGTAAAATGAACCGATTTACACGTAATAAAAAGTTAAAAATATTTGAAAAAACAAATATTAGTCAATTATAGTAAAAATTTTAAAATATTCAAGACTATACAAAAACAAATCACATACATTAAACAGATTAAAAGATAAGGCCTATTTTAAACATTGTTGTTTTTTAAAAAAACTAACATTTTTTGAAAGGAGACCTGTCAAGTTAAGGCCTCTACAGGTGGTGGTAAGTATTATAACGAAAATTCTTGGGTAAACTTATGACAGGGTATAGTTAATAAGATGTAAACTATGAGTGAAGAATTATTTATTATCTATTATATAAGATTTGGGCCATGAACCAATCACCAAGTGTATGTGATGTTGTAGGAAGAAGAAGAAATGACTGGGTTAACTGTTGTGAAGCAACTGAAGAATAAAAGAAGAAAATGACGTATGTGGATATCAGACAATCTAACCTAATCTTTACACGTGCTCGTTGGTTTCTTATGGAAAAAAAATAAAAAATATAAAAATTACTTACTGAAATGTACCCCTTGCAAGAAGATATGTGAATAGAAATAAAGGGGGGAGGTTAAAAAGGAAGTTAGAACGATAAATTTAGATTAGTGTTGAGAAAACAGGAGGAGTTTCTGACAATATCTGGGCATTTAAGCAACCAACAGGATTTAATTTTAAATGTCTCAATATCTCGAGGTTTTCGAAGCTATTAAGAGTAAATCTATTGTAGGAACTATGAAGGATTTCGAAACCTTCAGTTGAATCGAAGTCGTGATTTGAGTCCAGTAGGTGGTTGGCAAAATGTGAAAAACCTGTTGTATTTTGGTTAAGACAACGTAAATGTTCTTTTAAACGGATCTTGAAATTTCGAAATGTGCGTCCCACATAGAAAGAATGGCAAGATTTACAAGTTAATTTATAAATTCCAGATAAGTCAAAGGGATCTAATTTATCTTTATTATGAACAAATGTAATGAAGAGGGGGTTTTGAAAGATACTTTAAAGTGGTCTTTGAGTAAGCTAGCCACTTTGTAGGATGCTTTTCCAATAAAGGTAAGAGAAATGTATTTCTTACTGGTGGTTAGTTCATGTACCATATTAGGATTGTTAATATAAACTAAATTTTGTTGAATTTTATTTTGTTTATGTGTTAGCATTTTATCAATAATATCTAGTTCAAAGTTATGATCTATAGCAATAGTTTTAATTATATTTAGTTCCTTATTAAAGTTTTCCGTAGACAGAGGAACGTTTAATAGCCTCTCTAAGTAGCAATTAAAGGCAGCCAATTTATGTGTTGCTGGATGGTTAGAGGTATTGTCTATAACTGTGCCTGTATGTGTTGGCTTTCTATAGATGTCAAAGTTGAACTTGTTATTATTGTGTGAGATTTTAAGATCTAAAAAGTTAATAGATTTGTTTATTTCAATTTCTAATGTGAATTTAATATTAGAATGTAAGTCGTTAATATAAGTCAAGGAGTCTAAGTTACCTGACCACAAAATCAAAATATCATCAACATATCTATAATAGAATTTCACATTTGAGTGGAAAAGGTTGTTTTTAAGGATTTTTTCTTTTTCAAAATTGTGCATAAATATGTCTGCTAATATTGGGCTAAGTGGAGATCCCATAGAAAGTCCATTTGTTTGTGAAAAAATTTCATTGTTGAATGAAAAAAAGTTTTGTTCTAAACAAACCTTGAGAAGGTTCAAAAATTCTACTAGTTCAATATCAGACATATTCGAACTTGACAAATGTGATTCAACAAAACCTAGAACTTCTGGTATAGGAATATTGGTGAATAAGTTTGATACATCTAAAGAGATCAAAGAATCTGTATCATTAATGTGAACATTTTTGATGTTGTTTACAAGTTGTACACTATTTTTGACTGTATGTGTAAAGTGATCTTTATAATGGATTTTGAGTATGTCATTCAACCACTTTGATGTATAATATGTTGGTGAATTTATATATTACACGACAGGGCGGATTGGTATGTCATCAAAATTGTCAGATTTGTGTATTTTGAGAAGGCCATATAGCCTAGGTATTAATTTGTGATCTGGTTTGAATTTATTAAACAAGGAATCATTAATCAAATGTGTACAATTTTTAAGGGTAGTTTTAAATTTGGTATTATACTTATTTAAGGGGTTAGTGATTATAACGAAACTGTTAGTGTTTAAAAAGTTGTAAACTTTAGACAAGTAATCAAATTTGTTCAGAATTAATAGACAATTGCCTTTATCTGCTTTTGTCAATATTAGGTCATTATTTTTAATCTTTTTATTAATGTTTTTAATTAAATTATCATTAAAAGTGCCTCTTGAATAGAGATTATTTAATAACGTTTCTTTTTCTTTTTTGAATATGTTAACTAATCCACATCTAAGATCTTCTTTATTGTCAATTTCAAAGTTTTGTAAAATGGACTCTGCTTCTACTGCTAGTAATTCTAAGTTTTTATTAAGTGAAATGGCATTTGATCTAGTTGGATTAGATTTTATACCCTTGTTAAGGAGGTCAATTTCAGTTTCTGTAAAAGTAGTATCAGAAAAATTTAGAAGAGGAGTATGAAATTTATGTGAACTTTGATCTGAGGGATTGTTATTAACATTGTTATTTTCCACTCAAATGTGAAATTCTATTATAGATATGTTGATGATATTTTGATTTTGTGGTCAGATAACTTAGACTCATTAAATGACTTCTTGACTTATATTAACGACTTACATTCTAATATTAAATTCACATTAGAAATTGAAATAAACAAATCTATTAACTTTTTAGATCTTAAAATCTCACACAATAATAACAAGTTCAACTTTGACATCTATAGAAAGCCAACATATACAGGCACAGTTATAGACAATACCTCTAACCATCCAGCAACACATAAATTGGCTGCCTTTAATTGCTACTTAGAGAGGCTATTAAACATTCCTCTGTCTACGGAAAACTTTAATAAGGAACTAAATATAATTAAAACTATTGCTATAGATCACAACTTTGGACTAGATATTATTGATAAAATGCTAACACATAAACAAAATAAAATTCAACAAAATTTAGTTTATATTAACAATCCTAATATGGTACATGAACTAACCACCAGTAAGAAATACATTTCTCTTACCTTTATTGGAAAAGCATCCTATAAAGTGGCTAGCTTACTCAAAGACCACTTTAAAGTATCTTTCAAAACCCCCTCTTCATTACATAAGTTATTTGTTCATAATAAAGATAAATTAGATCCCTTTGACTTATCTGGAATTTATAAATTAACTTGTAAATCTTGCCATTCTTTCTATGTGGGACGCACATTTCGAAATTTCAAGATCCGTTTAAAAGAACATTTACGTTGTCTGAACCAAAATACAACAGGTTTTTCACATTTTGCCAACCACCTACTGGACTCAAATCACGACTTCGATTCAACTGAAGGTTTCGAAATCCTTCATAGTTCCTACAATAGGTTTACTCTTAATAGCTTCGAAAACCTCGAGATATTGAGACATTTAAAATTAAATCCTGTTGGTTGCTTAAATGCCCAGATATTGTCAGAAACTCCTCCTGTTTTCTCAACACTAATCTAAATTTATCGTTCTAACTTCCTTTTTAACCTCCCCCCTTTATTTCTATTCACATATCTTCTTGCAAGGGGTACATTTCAGTAAGTAATTTTTATATTTTTTATTTTTTTCCCATAAGAAACCAACGAGCACGTGTAAAGATTAGGTTAGATTGTCTGATATCCACATACGTCATTTTCTTCTTTTATTCTTCAGTTGCTTCACAACAGTTAACCCAGTCATTTCTTCTTCTTTCTTCTTCCTACAACATCACATACACTTGGTGATTGGTTCATGGCCCAAATCTTATATAATAGATAATAAATAATTCTTCACTCATAGTTTACATCTTATTAACTATACCCTGTCATAAGTTTACCCAAGAATTTTCGTTATAATACTTACCACCACCTGTAGAGGCCTTAACTTGACAGGTCTCCTTTCAAAAAATGTTAGTTTTTTTAAAAAACAACAATGTTTAAAATAGGCCTTATCTTTTAATCTGTTTAATGTATGTGATTTGTTTTTGTATAGTCTTGAATATTTTAAAATTTTTACTATAATTGACTAATATTTGTTTTTTTAAATATTTTTAACTTTTTATTACGTGTAAATCGGTTCATTTTACAATTTATTTCAACCCAAAATTGATGAAACTTGTTTTTGTAGTATTCCCTAGTGGATGGAGAGTATGGTGAGTTTTCTCTTTTTATTATTTTATATATCGTTTTGTTTCCAAGTTAACACACCTTACACCACATATTCTCCTTTCCACTAGGCGAGCCTGAAGATGAAGTGATGACACTTCGAAACCGGTCGCACTCAATGTTTTGTTAAACAATTAAACATTGACTTTCCTTGTGAGATATAAAGGACTTTTTCTCACCCTTCACCTTAAAATTACCTCAACTCACACATGGCTACCCCCCTTGTCAAAAATAGTAAAAAATAGTAAAAAATAGTAAAAAATAGTAAAAAATAGTAAACAATAGTAAAAAATAGTAAAAAATAGTAAAAAATAGTAAAAAATAGTAAAAAAATACTAAAAAATACTAATAAAAAAATACTAAAAAAATACTAAAAAAATAATAAAAAAATACTAAAAATACTAAAGTAGTATTATAAGGAAGTTCGGGAGGACCTGGTTTGGGGATAATTTTTATTAGAAAAAATTCTCCGAAGTTGCAAAGTAAGATAAAATCTATCCTATTATTTTAGGGCTCCGTCAAATATTTTGCTTTTCAAAAAGGTTCCGTTTCCAAAAAAGTTTGAGAAACATTGATTTATAGATAGGTGATAGTTAGCGCCAAATTGTTAATTTAATGGCGTTAATTTAAATCAGTGACGTAACAGTTTACAATTATTTGTAGGTTAATAAAAAAATAGTCATTTTTTTAAATAAAAATAGTTGTATTTAGACTCTAGTATTCCGAATATTATACAAGTGATGACTATTTTATAAAATGCAAGTTTAAAATTTGAAAAATTAAAAAAATAGTTTGATTATGTCATTCTTCTATTTTTTCTTCACTAAATTTACTACAGACGTCGTAAAAGCAACAAAAATCAAGAACATTTTCATTACAACTTTATGATAAAACTTTATTTACGTCATAGACTTAACTCAATAAAGTTGTCAACGTTTTTTGACCTGAACACTCAAGATTAGTGTGTCTGGTATCGAATTTACAGATCAGCTAAATGCGGCATATGGCAAAAATTTATATAGGTATCTAAATAACACCGAAAAAATATATGAGGTGATTCTGTGATGAAAATTTTGGTGGGTATTTGGTATAACATTTTTTTGTAAAAACCCTCCCCGCTAAAGTTATTCCCCTCCGAAGATTTAAAAAGTTAGTAAATGAATTGGGCTTTTCAGCCATATTTTTTAAAGAAAAATTTTTATCTAAAAAAAGTTGTAAGAAAAATGTCTTAGGGATTGACTAAAAGAAAAACATTTTTTTCTAGTCATATTTCGTATGCTTTATTTGATTTTTCTTTTTCATTAGATTTATTAGCTCGTTCAGCCATAAACGAGGGCTACATCCATTCGTTATTTTAATTAATAATTTTAATTTAGAAATTCAAATTTTAGCATTCTAATTTTAGTATTCTAATTTTAGTATTCTAATTTTAGTATTCTAATTTTAGTATTCTAATTTTAGTATTCTAATTTTGGTATTCTAATTTTAGTATTCTAATTTTAGTATTCTAATTTTAGTATTCTAATTTTAGTATTCTAATTTTAGTATTCTTATTTTAGTATTCTAATTTTAGTATTCTAATTTTAGTATTCTAATTTTAGTATTTTAATTTTAGTATTCCAATTTTAGTATTCTAATTTTAGCAATCTAATTTTAGTAATCTAATTTTAGTAATCTAATTTTAGTATTCCAATTTTAGCATTCTAATTTTAATATTCTAATTTTAGTACTCTAATTTTAGTATTCTAATTGAGGAGTAACTTTTCAAAACGTATTATGTCCATCCGAGGTCAAAATTCTCTTCGCTGCGGTTTCCGATTTATTTTCACTTATATTATACTTATTATAGCTTAATATCCCTATGTAATTTGAGTGCAAAATGTGATGTTCACATCGAAATGCATTACATAAAATATTTGTTTTCTGTACTGAAAAACAAACTTTAATGGACATACTCTATTTTGAAAAGTTACTCATCAAATGTAGTAATCTAATTTTAGTATTCTAATTTTAGTATTCTAATTTTAGTATTCTAATTTTAGTATTCTAATTTTAGTATTCTAATTTTAGTATTCTAATTTTAGTATTCTAATTTTAGTATTTTATTTTCAGTATTCTAATTTTAGTTCTAATTTTAGTATTCCACTTTTAGTATTCTAATTTTAGTATTTTATTTTCAGTATTCTAATTTTAGTATTCTTATTTTAGTATTCTTATTTTAGTATTCTACTTTTAGTATTCTAATTTTAGTATTCTGATTTTAGTATTCTGATTTTAGTATTTTAATTTAAATATTCTAATTTAAAAATTCAATTTTAAATATTCAAATTTTAGTAATCTAATTTTAGTATTTTAATTGAGGAGTAACTTTTCAAAACGTATTATGTCCACCCGAGGTCAGAATTCTCTTTGCTGCGGTTTTCGATTTATTTTCACTTATATTATACTTATTATAGCTTAATATGCCTATGTAATTTGAGTGCAAAAAATCACATCGAAATGCATTATATAAAATATTTGTTTTATGTAGTACCTGAAAAAAAAAATTAATGGACATAATGCATCTTGAAAAGTTACTCCTCAATTTTAGTATTTTAATTTTAGCATTCTAATTTTAATATTCTAAATCTAATATTCTAATTTTAGTATTCTAATTTTAGTATTCTACTTTTAGTATTCTAATTTTAGTATTCTAATTTTAGTAATCTTATTTTAATAATCAAATTTATTATTCTAATTTTAGTATTCTAATTTTAGTAATATGATTTTAAAATTACATAAATATTTCGGTACTTAACACATATTTGAGTACACACTAACGCATTTAATTTGGCAGGTTGGATTAAACAGAACATCCCAGATTGGAAAAATTCTATCATCGTGTCCCCAGACGCAGGCGGCGTCAAACGAGTCACGTCAATTGCAGATAAACTCAATGTGGAGTTCGCTTTGATCCACAAGGAGAGAAAAAGGGCAAACGAAGTCGCGTCAATGGTTTTAGTAGGAGACGTTAAGGAAAAAGTTGCGATCTTAATAGACGACATGGCAGATACTTGTGGCACGATATGTCATGCTGCCGATAAACTTATACTAGCAGGGGCTTGCAAGGTCAGTAAAAGTAAATTTTAAATTACAAATAAATGTTTTACAAAAAAGAAAAGTAATTCCAAAAGTGATACATTTTTTTGAGATTTTCTTGTTTTTCTTTAAAAATATTAGATAGTTAAGTAATCTCGGAATAATTTTTTAATTTGTTATACCTAGGTAGTAACACCCAGTCTTTGGTCTATTGAAAGTCCGAAAAGATTGTTTTACTTCAGAAAATATACCTTATATTTCTATTTTAGGTATACGCGATTCTAACTCACGGAATTCTGTCAGGTCCGGCCTTATCCAGGATAGAGCAAGCCCCGTTTGAGGCCGTGGTAGTAACCAATACCACTCCCCAAGAGGCGAACATGACTAAATGTTCCAAACTCAAATGCATCGACATTTCTAGAATATTTGGAGAAGCTGTCAGACGTACTCACAATGGAGAATCAGTATCATACCTATTTTGCAATGTTCCTTATTAAATAAATATATTTTTTTAAATTTTCGTTTGTTTTTATAGTCGTTTTTTTTATTTTAAATTTTGTATGCATTGTATGCTAAACTGAAATAATTTATGGGTCGATTCTGAGGCAATTTATAAGATCTGTAAGCCAAAATCTGTAAAAAACTACATTATATTACTATATTTTACAGATTCTGTAGCTTATAGGATATTTCACAGAGTACTACCATTAATCTTCCAGTACTAGCAGCAAATTTTGATTTTGAATTCCATCGCATCACAATTTTGTTGCAATTGATTTAAGATTAAATACCTTCCATATCCTCCAAGAAGTTACTTTCACAAAAAACACTTCTAAATAGGCCATCAAAAATCTCATTTTTTATACCAATAATAATATAGCAGCCAGAACTTCTTTTTCAAAAAAAAGAACCCTCTTGCTTCATACTTACATATGAGATTGATATCACGTTAATTATGTATTCATAGCAACCAAGGAAGCATGGTAATCTCGTCACGTGACCACCCATGAAGCCACGTGTTCTAATGGCCCTAATCCTAGGTTAATTGGTTGCCCGTCAGATTTTAAATCCCTAACTAATGCTGACTTGATTATTTCGAATACATCGATGAATCTAAAGCAGAAAATGTTTCGAATAATGTTGGTAATAAATGTACCTACTATTGATGGGTTGATGGCGATGAATAAGAGTTGTAACACGCCGTCATATAGTCAGTGCGAAATAAATGTTTTTTAGATATAGGCAATTTTACCAAAAAATATTAACTTATTTAATAAATTATTTGTATTGCCCATAACTGGAAACTTGTGTATGTTTACTATAGACTGAAAAAAAAAAAAATTGAAAAGTGAAAAAACTTTTGATAATAGCTGTTTTACAACATAATGGTTGTAAATATAACTTTATAGTGTAAAAATGGTTTTTTTCTACGACCGTGTATTTTTACCCACTTTCCCGCACGCATTTTAGTTTTGAAAGTGTCACTTTCCCGCACTAGTGCGGGAAAGTAAAATTATGAATATTTGGCCTTACCTATTGTATAGTTTTTTTACCTCGGATGTTATAACTATTGTTACAATAGGCAATTTAGTATTTTCCAACTATTCCATTTAATAAAATTTACTTTATTTCTTGCTTTTTGTTATAATTTTAATTTTTTGGAAAAATTGAATAATAGAGATATTTTTATATACCTTCTGTATATTTTTAAAAGTCAGACTAGGCTGTGACATGTATGGCTTGATATGGTTGCTATATGGTAACCAAGGCGTGTTATTGTTACAAAAACGTCAAAGTTGTTTGTTGAAGCGTCAACTGAATTAAAATAAATTAAAGAAATAATGGATTCATCGGATGAAGAGCTGCCCGAAGCCATTTTAAAAACTGCAAATGAAGCACATTTGGAGGTGTTACCTGCCAAATCACGAGGAAGATTTGACCATTTTGTCACATGGTGTAAACAGCAAGGGGTAAAAACCTACAAAGAAGAGGTGTTTCTGGCGTATTTTTCGCACCTAAGTAAGTTTTTGAAATCTAATACTTTATGGTCTCGCTATTCGATGGTGAAAAGTTTAGTAAAAATAAAACAAAATTTGAATATAAGCCAGTTCCATAAGTTAACGTCATTTCTAAAACAAAAAAATGTTGGTTTTCAAGCACAGAAGGCGCAGGTTTTTACCAAAGAAGATATATCCAGGTTTATGTTAGCCCCTGATGAGATATACCTTATGATTAAAGTGAGTACCATTTTTGATTTAGCTGGTGCTCTCCGCAGAGCGGAGCTTGTAAATATCACTCTCGATGATATACAAGATAAAGGCAATCTGATAGTTGTGAAAATTTCCGATTCCAAAAATCATTTTTCAAGATCATTTGTTTTATGTGAAGAAATAAATAATGGAAACTTTCTGAAGCTGTACAGAAAGTACGCAGGTTTACGACCACCTACCACTCCGCATCGCCGCTTTTTTTATTAATTATAAGAAGGGAAAATGCTCAATTCAGTGCGTTGGCGTAAACACCTTTGGTAAGATGCCAACAGAGATTGCTGCATATTTGCGTCTACCTAATCCTGAACGATATACAGGACACAGTTTTAGACGTTCTTCAGCAACATTCCTAGCAGACTCAGGTAAAGCGATAACCAATATAAAACGTCTCGGTGGCTGGAAGTCCACTACTATCGCTGAAGGCTATTTGGAGGACTCCGAAACACAGAAGAAAAACATTTCGAATAAAATTCTTTCAAATAGAAATGACTTGCAACCTTGCTGCCACCGTCATGTTCACCTTCATGCGACCTGCAACCGATGTCACTCCCGTCCACGTCATCTTTTCAATCTACGAGCATTACGACTATTAACAGCCAATTAACACCAACTAATTCCTCTGTACCGGCAATTTTACATAATTTACAAAATGCTACAAATTGTGTATTTAACATTAATATCCATAATAATTAGTTGTTTTTATTTAAAGATTTGTATATGTTGAAATAAAATAATTTCCCAAAAATAATTTTTCCTACTTTTTTGTATATACGGTCGTAGAAAAAATAATGTTCCTAACTCATGCGTAAAGTGTCTTTCCCGCACTTGACCGCTTGCCCGAACTCCGCTTCGCGTCGTTCGGGCCAACTGCAGTCGCGTGCGGGAAAGTAACACTTTCCGCACTTGTTAGGAAAATAACTATTGTATGTTCTTAAAATTGCAAACTTTTTTGCTAAAAAATCTTTTTTGAAGGAAAACAGTTTTTAATGTAAAAATTCGAATTTATTTGAGGTATACCTAACTTACTTGTATTTTTACAGTTTTAGTGAAAAAAATCAAAAGTGAAAACATATTTTAATAGTGTTAGAAATTTTAAAAAAATAATTTAGATTTACAAGAATTATGTAAAATTAGATATTATTTATACAATATTCTCGTGAAAATACAAATATGTAGGTGGGCTTACAAATGTCTTGTAAATTTCGTAAAGTTCGCTTCAAATTTGTAATGTAACAATAAGTCAGTAAATTTACATTATTGCAATAATTAATAGAAAATAAAAGGATTTTTAGAATATTCTTTTCAAAATAAAAATATATAGGTGAATTTACAAATATTTTGTGAATATTTATAATAATAATAATTTTAGAAACAATCTGTGAACAAAGATATCTGGGTTCGAAGTCTGCACAGAAAAAATGAAATTCTTACAAAAAAATATGTATTTTCTGAAAGATATTTTCTTTAAATAAATATATTTCTTAATTAAAGATATTATTCTTACTTAAAAATTTGACACTGATTTTGGTGTAGACATAATTATTCTTAAAATATATTTTTGAACATAGCAAATTACTGTTAATTCAAAACACGACAATGTTTAAATAAAGAATAATCACATATAACTAACGATTTTCTAAGTATTTATTCTTAAGGGTAAGTTCAACTTCGTTTGACATATAATCATGATGTTTACATACAGGTCCGGTATAAGCCATATATAAATGGAAAATAATAATTTAATGTTTTGATCGAGTTAAATAAAATATCAAAATTAAATGTTTATTTTTAAGTAAACGACATTTTTAAATGTATACGTCTTCAATCAAAAATAATATAGGGTAATACTCAAGTGTATACGAGTGTACTGGACAAGAGATAATTTTACCCTTTACTCCAGTTTTTTGTAATGAAACCAGCGGTAAAATAGATATTTGTGTACCAAGGCTGTGTTTTGACCGAATTAGACATATGCGTTCGAGTCTAAGCTAGTTCTGGTTAAGTATAAGAGTAATAGGCAAGAACCAGATGTTCAATCAAACTTGACATCGAGATAGATGTCCCATAAGCAGGTGTACTATAATAATAATAATAATAATACTCTCCCTAATTCACCCCCTTACGAGTGAATTTCAACCCCTGAAGTCGACTGAACGACTTGTGTAGGGGAAGGGACGACTATTATTATTATTATTATTATTATTATTAATTATTATTATTATTATTATTATTATTATTTGCCGTGGCGCTCCGGGGCGACTTAAGGATGATTGATGGTGCCATTTGACTTACAGGTGAGGAAAACCCGGAAAACCTCACCCACCATCATATGAACTGAAGATGAACTTTGCAGGACCAAGCATTAGATAGGAAACACTAGATATTCTGAAAACCATCCATACTACAATGAATAAGAACGAATGGAAGTGTCAGAAGCAGGCTAAAGGCAAAAAATAGATGGAACAGAGCTGAATAGATAGATAATATTTTAGCCAGTCGATGAATGTTATAAATATAGTTAATTTATGAATGTATTTTTAATGTATAATTTCAGTTTATTTTCATTTTTGGTATAAAACTATGGCTGACATAATAAAATTCTTAAAAGTATATATATTTTCAATCTTTATTACTATACATTATTTAGTTTTCATTTATTCTCTCTGACCTAGGGAAAAGGTTAGAAAACCCTGGTCATAATTGTTTACAACGTTGGTGTTCCTAATGATACAAAACATTACAGAGGAATGATACTTAGCCGATGAAATCTCATCGAGTTCACGCATGACGTATTGTGGTATGGAATATGGCTATCTCTGATGCATATGCAGATTTAAATTTATTTTTGCGTACTGTTTTCTATCAACTGATACCCCAAATGTATACAAGCCACGTCTTCGCACCACAATGTGACATAGCATCAAATCTGCTTAATCTCGTACCTTTTTTTAAGTATCAAGGATAATCTTGGTGTACCTGATCATCATGTTTCGAGTCATTAAACCTAACAAATAACAAATATCAATAAATAGAATTCGGAATTTATTCCAAAAATATTTTTCTTTGGGAATTATATAGGATTTCTCGTTAATATACTGAGAAACTTTTAAAGGTGGTATAAGTGCATCGAAATAAACATTTTTTTGCTTAATAAAATAAAAATAATTTTATTGCCCAACAAATTAATCCATTTACAGAACAAAATACATGAAATACATGTTAAACATAATATTTCGACAGAAACAAATTTT